TGAACAGAATTGAGCAATCAAGAAATTTCGCAATATGTATCACTGCCAAAATATTGTGGTACTTGCGTGGGTATTATGTTAGTACACCTTTATGGAATTCTTTGTTTTACACCACCGCGATTGCCTATATATCGTGTGCCCGACACGCCAGAACAAGAGAAGAGGGAAGGCTGGCTCCGGCGGTAGAAGCAGTCTGTGGTCAACAATATGGCTTCTTTCCCGTTCCCAAAACGCAAAATATGTCACAACACAGGAACAGCATTACGCATATGTTAAAATTTCGATGTCAGGTTTCAAACAATTAGAGGGCTGATGAAAATCTACAGTCTTGTGCTTTCGGGCACACAATAACTGTAAGTGAATGGACAGGCAAAAGTGGGTCAAGCATTGCTGCATTTTCATGTATGTATTACGCCATTGAAAATGAATAAACCTCAAAGGCTGCAGACTCACGGAACACACTTTTTCAACAGTCGTTACTTCTCACTCTTTCGGCCTTTCAACTTCAACTTCTACCTTCAAAACCACACTTTTTCATTTTTCATGGAAAAATCCTCATCATTGTCCCTAAAATCCATGGTTCTGATGTACTCATATCACAATTTTACTTCGTTAACAATCAAGTGAAAATTCCTCCCTCAATTGATCTTATATTTCTCGATCTTCAAACTTCTAGTGTGTATAAAAGATCATGGCTTACTCAAACTCTCTTAGGTGAAGGTCCTACTTCTTTTTCGCTCATGAGTGAAGGTGACCGGAGCCGTGGCTCTCTATATAACCTATGCTCACCTATTTGAGACCGGGGAGGGGTAGGGTAGTGGACTCGAATAACGTCCGGAACATTTTGCACTTCCCTCCCTACAGTATGCCTTAGTCATTTTTTTAAAGCAACAATGTTTGTAATTTTAAGTATTGCTCAATAATCTGGCGTCCACACAACTTAAGATTTCAGAAAGTGGTAGACGGGACGCGATATAGCAAAGGAACGTAGAATTAATGACGACAATAGAGCCCTATGAAAATATAAGGGCTGTGTTGCAAGTTGTACTCAAAATCCTATGAAAGCGAGAAAAGCCCGATATACCAGCTACTTATTACTGATTCGACAAGGTTGAATGAGAACTTTGTTAGGCCAAACAAATCCATTGTTTGAAAATGAACTTATGCACTCTTAATCGCTATCAAACTATTTGAACAATATCATGCAAGTACATATGGTTTGTGAAGAAGGTAAGTGCGCGGCGATTGTTCATTTGAACAATAGATGAGCTAACTTGGTAGGCATTGAGAGAAAGCAAGATAATCAAGCAAATTAGTTTTTTTTCCGGCAGCTAAGACAAGGAATAAAACAAATTAATAATGAAAGGGATTCAGAGTGATAGTGTATGTACCTCGCTAAGTTCCTAATGGCATTTCGTAACTAAAAGGTCAGATTTCGTTAACAGATGCCGAGCGTAGCCGGGTTTGCAGCTAGTTCATTTAATAAAATATTTTAGAGGCATATGAGTACCTGTGTTATAAAATAGTATGTAGGATTCATTAAACTTATGGTTTTATATTTTTTGAGTTTATTCTTCAACTAAGTGCTTAGCAGAAAAAGTCAGCCCATAACAAGGTAAAGGGGATCTACAAATTCAGCTCAATGAATTTTTTTTTCAAATTCCGGCATTTTACTAAGTTTAGCCGGATTTATTGTCAGAGACTGTCATCTATATTTCTGCTATAAAGATTTCACAGAACCAAGATGCCACTAATTGCCAATAAGAACAGACTTCCTCTCGTTACAGAGCACTCATGGGAGCATTTCGAAAGAAAAGGCCTCTGGCGGGAAGTCCAAAGATGCTACATAGTACAAGAATCCTTTTGAAGCTCATAAAATTTTTTTACTTAGACGCATTTTCTAAAAAACATTTCTATGGCAGCTGCGCTTTCGCTAACTTTCCCTCTAATTATAGTGTAATCACAAATCCGCCATGTGGTTTGATTAAGGTATATCGCTTTCGCAAAATTCCTATAAACATGTCTACACATTTGGTAAGTAATGAGCTCAAACTTGTGTTCGGAACTTAAACCCAACAACTATCTTCATCTTTTTAACATCTTCGCTGTCCAAGATTAGACACCCTATATATACTTTCAATAGTGTTGGCTACAATTGACAATCATAAAAAGTCAAATTGGCTTTCTAAGAAAGAGAACGAAGCAATAAAAATATCACTTATGAACGATATTTACCAGATAATATTTTATGGGTCGATTCTAAGAGAACTATCTTGTAATAAAATTCAGCTCAACTGCTTAACTTTGAAAATCTTGCTCTCTTTGATGTCTATCTAATTTGAATAGTTAACAACTGACTAGAAGGGAGGAACTTTATCTCAGAGACTCTAAAATGAGCAAAAGCACATTATTCACAGCTTTCACAAGGTAGATCAGTTTGTCCCCACGAACTGCATTTGAGCAGACCTTTATTACCCTACATTGGACGATTCATAAGCTCCAAGGAAGACTTGTTTAATTTGGAATTTTGAAAAATACATAAATTGCAACCCAGTACTT